AGACAGAGTGAGATGGACCACATATGTCTAGCTCCTTTACTGCTGCTTCTCCAGTAAAGCCTTCCTTCCCCAAAGGTCCATGATGGATAAAGGCCATCTTTGGGTTCTTAAAGCCCCAGTGGACCATGCACTCTCACATATCCTATCTAACTAGAAAGGTTTCAAGTGTGGGCCACCAATATATTGTGTGGCCATCATCCAATGATTAGCACAGCTAATTCTGATGGAATTTGTTAAATTCCATCAACAAATAGATGGCCACTAACTAAAAACCAAAGATCTCCAACTACAGTAGTTTCTAAAACCATCTACTGATTTGTAGAGGGGTTGCATGTGCAACACTAGAGGGTCTACTCATCCTAATGAAATCATGGCTCTTCAGAACTGAAACAAAATGCTCCTATAAGAAAGTTCCATTTTTCACATTTAATTCACAATCTCATTATGTTTGGGGCATGGGGCTTTCAGCTTAATTGCATATTATTATGAACAGTTTACTATATATACCATGCATGATCATGAATTTTCAAAGAATTAAATTATAGTTAGTCCTACCTTACCAATGGGCTGTGTTCCTAATCTATAAATGGTGTTTGTTTCTAGTTCAGAAAAGTTCATAAAAGCCTACTTAATCCATTATGTCAAGTCAATACATCAATATACATCTATTGTTGTTGTTCAGTCATTTAAGTTATGTCTGACTCTTTGTGGCCCCGTGAGGGGTTTTCTGGCACTAAACTGAAGTAGTTTGCCACCTCCTTCTCCAGATTATTTTTTGGAAGAGGAAACTGAGGTAAACAGGATTAAGTGACTTGCCCAGGATCACACAGCTAATTAACATCTGAAACCAGATTTAAACTCAGGTCTTCCTGATCACAGACCCACCAATCTATCCACCATACCACCTAGCTGCCCCTAATGCATTTATTAGGCACTTAATATGTGCCAGACACCATACTAAGAACTAAAGATATAAAAAAGGGGGAAAGTAGTATCTGGCCTTAAGGAGCTGACAGCCTAATGGGGGAGATAACATGCAAACAACTAAACACAAAGAAGACATATATAGGATAAATTGGAGATAAACTGGGAGGGAAGTCACTAACATTAAGGTTGACTTGGAAAAGGACTCTGACAGAAAATTGAAGCCAGAAGGCAGAGGTGAGGAGGGAGCAAATTTCAGGCACGGGCACAGCCAGTGAAAATATACAGAGTCAGGAGATAGAGTTTCAGGTTCAAGGAAGAGCAAGACTATCAGTGTCATTGGATGGCAGAGTACATGGAAGAGAATAAAGTCTTCCACTAAATAAAATTGGAAAGGTAGGTAGGGACCCAGTTATGAAGGGCTTTGAATACCAAGAAATGATGTATTTCATCCTGGAAGTAATAGGCAACCAGTTTAATGAATAAGAGAGTGAAATGATCAGACCTACACTTTAGGAAGCGCAGATTTGACCGCTTAGTGGAGACAGACTGTCATGACAAGACACATAAGGCAGGAAGACCAACCAGAAGTCTACTGCAATAGTCCAAGAGTAATGAAGGCCTAAGCCAGAGTAATACCAGTGTCAGAGGAGACAAGGAAGGGTAAACAAAAGTTGTTATGAAGGTAGATACTACAAGACTTGGTAATTGAGAGTATTTAATGGCACTAACCCAAGTGTATATTTCACAGGACTAACATGAGTTCTGGGTCCTTTGAACTGACAACCATAGGATCAAAGTTTGAGAATTGTAGGGGACTTTGAGGCCATCTAATTTAACCCTCTAATTTTCAGGACACTGAAGCCCAAAGATGTCAAAAAGATCATCCAAGCAGTAAGTTTCAAAGTCAGGATTTGAACCTAGGTTCCTCTTACTGCAAACTCACCATTCTTTCCGCTGCACCATTCAGACAAGCTTTCCCTGCCCCTCACTATTCTCCACATTCCAATATTAATTACATTCTGGGTCCTTCATTTCCAAGTTCAACCACCCATCCCTTTAGTGTGGTTGATTTTAGCTAGACATTAGGAGAACAACAATCTGATTAGACTAATTTACTCCTCAATTTATTTACCTTTTTAAAAGATGGTGCTGGCAAACTGAAATGAAGCCCAGTCCTCCTTCCACTAGACAGCCAGCCCTGCCTGAGAATCTGTCTCTAGGATCAGACCCCTTAAATATTTCTAATTTTTAGAGTTTCTTCTCTTCCTCCACTTCTGAGTCCACCATTTCTCCGATGGCTCTCATGGCAGCAGGTACTCTAGCAATAAATAGGGGTCAGAGGAGAATAGCCATTTGCAAGTCATAGATTACACTAAATTAGAGCTAGCCCTAAAATGATATTGAGTAGAATTGGATCTTTGCTTGATGATTCAGGACTTTGCATAGCAGGACTTTGTCATGCCTGAGGATCATCAATATGTATGTCAATTACTATTACTTACAACTAGCAAAACAAAAAAATCTGTTTAAGTTTTCAATTGTTTTAGATTCTAGATCAATGGGAGTTAACACTGCTAATTTTATTGGCTGTGTTGCTATGGATATTGTAATAATATTTGATGCTAATTAGTATTTTATATTAATAACAGAATAGGAATATTTAGAAATTCTTAGGACAAGAGAATTATTTTACTATTATTCTGGTTTATTTTTTATTATTTAATTATTATTCTGTTACTACAGAAAGATAGGGAATAACCTCCATCCCTTGGAATGACTTTAGTCCTAAAGAAAAACAAAGAAGTGGACCAAATGACCTTTGGAGACCCTTTCCTACAAAATGATTTCTTGATTTCAAATACTTTTAATAGAGAAATTTTTGCCAATCTTATTCTCAGCAGGTTCCTTAGGGGTACAGATAGAAACAATTTTTGAAAGATAAGGCATTATCTCCCTAATATCTATTACTTCTGTTGCAACCTCTGCCTGCAAGAGCGATCTGAGTGTAGCTCCAGGCTCACTAGGCTTCTATCAGCCTCAATGTCCTCATCTGAAAATGGGCATAATAATAGCACCTATTTGACAGTGCTGTTGTGAAGATCATCTATGTAAAGGGCTTTGTAAACCTTAAGATACTATATAAATGTTAGCTAATAGGTATGTTTTCTTTTTCCCACCAAGTCCTAGAGTCATACTGAGAAATGACATTGCCCTGAAACTTATTATGAAGACCTAGGGAAAAGCTATGCCTTATTTCCCTCATCTTTAAAAAGGCTAACACTTGACCTATTACTTCACAAGGTTCTTGTGAGAAAAGTGCTTTATAAGCATGAAAGCGCTGTAGAAACGTGTGCCCTTCTTAACAATGAGAATGACCAAAACTGTTCTTTCAGAAGCTAACACTAAAGATTTTCCTTAGTGCCCTGTTTTCTCTCCAGTACTAAGAGCCCATTGAGAAGGAGAAAAGAATTGTTGCACTCAGGAGATGAGCAAAAACCATGATATTTCCTTTTTCCCCCAGTCTTTTGACTTTTCAGGAATAATTTGTTCTCCTAAAAGAGAATACAGCCTCTGAATCTGGTATCCAATTCTGATGGAAAAAAAACTGGGGGAAAAAAATCTTTCTTTATATTTGTTCCAGAGAATTCTGGTTGTTTCATGATTGCTGCCTTGCCAACACACTGTCACCATGACATACATAGCAGATATATGTGTGTGTGTGTGTGTATGTGTATGTATGTGTATATATGTATGTGTATATGTATGTGTATACGTATATGTATATGTATATGTATATGTATATGTATATGTATATGTATATGTATATGTATATGTATATGTATATGTATATGTATATGTATATGTATATGTATGTGTATATGTATATGTATGTGTATGTGTATGTGTATGTGTATGTGTATATGATTCAAGATGATTATACCAGGCCATTTTCTCTAGAGAGAAATACTAGAAGAGGAAGAAGAGACATAGAAACAGAAATAGTCAAAATCTTTGCACAAATCTAAAAGTATACATCCTGGCACCAAAGGAATTCTACCAACCCCTATAGTTAATGTTCTCTGACCTACTCATGATCGATCAAGTCAAATCAACAAGCATTTATTAACAACCTACTGCCTGCCAGTCACTGTGCCAAGTGCAAAGAAAGCCAAAAACAATCCTACCTTCGAGGAGTTCAAAGTCTAATGGGGATAGAGAAGAAAGGAAAAGGGAAGAGACAGCACGCAGACAACTATGCATAAGCTTGATATATATACAGGATAAGTTGGACATTATCTCAGAGGGAAAGTACTTTCAGTAAAAAAAAAAATCAGGAAAGATTTCTTGCAGAAAGTAAGATTTTAGCTGAGATTTGAAGGAAACCAGGAAAGTCAGGATGCAGAAACAAAAGCAGAGGGGTAAACTCCAAGCATGGGAGCCCAAGAGTGAATATGCATGGCGTTGGGAAGTGAGGTGTCTTATGTGAAAAACAAAAGGCAGGCCAGAGTCACTGGATCATAGAGCACAGGGATCAAAGTAAGGTGCAAGCTGACTAGAAAGGTAGGAAGAGGTCAGGTTATGAAGGGCTTCAAAAACCAAACAGAGGATTGGTGTATTCAGTGGTTCCTTGGTTGTCTGATTAAGCTAGTCTGGCACCTTTATAAAAGGCTCAAGCTCTGTTGTCTATTTTAGAATAAAACCACACAGCCTCTTGTAGTGTCAGTCTACTCTAAAGTCATTCTGTAGTCTGCATACAGTTGATGCCCTGGGCTATTGTCATATGGGTGCCTCCATTTTCCAGGGCCCAAGAGCACTGCCAAGGTAAAGAAAAGGGCATGCCTCTTTTGCAGAGGTTTCATCAGTAGTTTATATCTTGTTTGCAAACCCTGGAGCCATATTCGATGAGGCATTGACTATGTTTCTGTTCATTGAGATTCAGAATCAGACTAACACAGTAAAGGAATCTTATAAATGGCGACACGGATGAAGTCATTCTTTTGAACTAAGGAGTCATCAGCCCCAAATCCCTTTGCTGCTTTCATAGCCAAACTTCAAACACTAAGTGTACTCACACTGCTCTTCCCATTCACGTTCCTCCTTTTCACTGGCGTGGCTCTGCTGCTGGGCTTGCTTCAAGGTCCAGTATAACTCTTTGGCTCTTCGTTCTTCCTGAAGGCGAATCTGCATTTCTCCCCTTTTCCTCTCCTCTTCTTCTTTTCTCTAAAATGGGACATATTGAGAAGGATGTCAGATACCTTACTAGGGAGCGGAAAAAGGGGGTCTGTGGGAAAGGGAGGAGGGTAAAGCTTCCATAATGTGGGCTTTGAGGGCCAAGGCGTTTTGTCAAAACACCTGCATAACTGTCCAGAAAAACCCACTTCCAGCCATGCCTGTGCTCCCACTGGCCACAAATCAGCAATGTTCACAGAAACAAATTCAGCCTGACGAGCTACTCGGCCAGGAAGCCTTGTGGAAAGAATATGATTTGTATCCATGAACATCTCCCCAGTACTAAGTTGTTCCAGTACAAAATGCTAACAGAAGCAAAACAACAGATTTATTTCCTTTTCAGTGGCCTTAACAAGATTTGATTTAGTTGCTAAATTTTTTTAGAATATAGACTATCTTCCAATTCAAAGATACGTTTTCTAAACAACTGAAAAGGATCCAAGCAATCTAGGCAAGTCAAGCGCTACTCTTTAGAGGTAACACATCCACCATATCCCTTTCAGTGGGTTACGACAATCTAATTTTATACAGTCTTTTCCCCAGGGGTAGCTTCACTGCTTCAGACTGTATCTGGTATTCTTGTCCCCAACAGCCTATGTAAAATTACATTACTTAATAGTAGGCAAAATTATGGGGCTTTTGTTCACTAACTTTCTTTAATCACCCAGAGTAAGACAACATCACAGAAACCAGAAGGCCTGGAGAAAACCTATGGGGGGATGCTCTCATGCTTTGGAAACACCTCCAAACACAAGTCTTTCCAATCCAATAGGAAACACACCAAGGTCTTTGTTGATTGATGGCATATCTATCATGGAAGCAAACTCTTACACAAGCTGAAGGCTGTAGTCTGGATCCCAATGTCTGTTCTTCAGACACATGCAACTTCTGGATAAAGATTAAAAACCCTTCAAGTAGCATTTGAAAATAATGTCTGATCAATAGGAAAGTTACATTAGTATTTCAGTTAAAGCAGTATTGTATCTACATCAATCCCTCATTAGGCTACTCCCAGTAATGTTCTGATAATGAATCCATGATGAGTTATTAGAGGTAGATAAATGGTACAAGTCACTATTGATATAGAGATACTCTCGCTTATTTTTTTTTATATATCTATGTAGTGAAATAAATTTTGCATTTAAGAGAGAAATATGTAGGAAAGAATATACAGTTTCTGAAGCAAGCATAGTTTAGTATAAATTAATGAGTTTCTGAAGCAAACATGGCATTCACGCTAGAAAGACCCAAGGACTTGAAATGAGAAGAGCTGAATTCTGATCCCAATTCTGCTACTCATGACCTGTGCGACCTTGAACAAGTCATTTATCTCTCAGGGTCCCAGTTTCCTCAATGTGGTATAGCACAAAGATCACTAGACATGGAATCAGAGGATTTGGATTCAAATCCCGGCCTTGTTTACCTACATGACCTTGGTCAAGTCACCTAAGCTTACAACCCTCATCAGTAAAGAGAAAGGGTTGGACTTAACAGCCTTTGAGGTCCCTCCCAATTTTAAATCTATGACTAGATGATCTATAGGGTACCTTCCAGTTCTAACAGTTCTTAATTCTGATTATCAATCTCTTTCCACTTAGAAACAGCTATTTAGATATATTAGGAAACAATTATGCAAGGCCCAGCTCAAGTCTCAACTCGTCCACAAAACCTCCTCTGACTGCCCTGACCCACACTGATCGCTCAATTAAATTCAACAAGCATTTATTATGGCTACTATACGCAGAGCACTGTGGTAGGAACATACAAAGAGAAGAAAGAAGTCCTTCCCACAACCAAAGAGCCTACATTCCACCAAGGGGAAAAAGTGACTTTAAAAGTCATGGATGGGGGTGTCAGGGGACATTATTTCATGAGTTTCACAATAAAGATGTAAGGCAGGTACTACAATGTCCATTTTACAGATGAGAAAACCAGTTTAGAGAGCTAAAGTAATTTACCTACAGTCACAGAGTGTAAGTAATAGGGAAGGGATCTGAACCCAGGTCTTTCTGACTTTGAATTCAGAGCACTATCTACTATACCATGCTTCCTCACTCCCTCCCCTTCAACATATTTCTCATTTATACAATTCTTTAGGCATTTACTTATGTACTGCTTTGTGATATCTATTGCACTATGGTCTCATATTTAAGGTATGTGTGCTTGCCTAGCCAAAAAGATAAGAATTAGAACCAATAGGAGGGACCACAAGAAAGAAGAAACAAAAACAAAACAGAAGAGAAAAAAGAGCAAATAGTATGCCTCAATCTGTATTCAAACTCCATAGTTCTTTCTCTGGATGTGGATAGCATTTTCCATCATGAGACCTTTGGAGATGTCTTCAATCCTTGCCTTGCTGAGAAGAGTTAAATCTATCAAAGTTAGTCATTGTACAACATGGCTGTTACCACATACGATGTTCTCCTGGTTTTGCTCACTTCATTTGGCATTAAGTCCATACATGTCTTTCCAGGCTTTTCTGAACTCTGTTTGCTCATCATTTCTTATAGCATAATAGTATTCCATTGCATTCATGTACGACAACTTGTTCAGCCATTCCCCAATTGATAGGCATCCCCTCAATTTCAAATTGTTTGCCACCACAGAAAGAGATGCTATTAATATTTTTTGTATATGTGGGTCCTTTTCCATTTGTGTGATCTCTTTGGGATACAGCCCTAGAAGTGCAATTGCTGGGTAAAAGGATATGTACATTTTTATCATCTTTTGGGCATAGTTTCAAATTGCTCTTCAAAATGGTTCGATCAGTTCACAACTCCACCAACAATGCATTAATGTTCCAATTTTCCCATATCTTCTCCAACATTTATCATTTTCCTATTTTGTCATATTGGCCAATCTGATAGGTGTGATGTGATACCTCAGAGCTGTTTTGATTTGCATTTCTCTAATCAATAGTGATTTAGAGCATTTTTTTTCATATGACTATAGATAGATTTAATTTTTTTCATCTGAAAACTGCCTGTTCATACCTTTTGACCATTTATCAGTTGGAGAATGACTTATATTCTTATAAATGTGACTCAGTTCTCTATATATGTTAGAAATGAGACCCTTATCAGAGACACTGGTTATAAAACATGCCCCACTTTTCTAACAGACCTCCTTGAGAGCTCTCTTATCTTCACGTACCTAATGGATCCTTTTAGGAATCCATTATTTCCTTGACAGCTCTCCACTTGTTAACAATTGATTGGCCTATTTTGTTGGCATGTCTAAGAAGCATTTTAATGAGGAAGGACTAGTTACCAAACGGGTCCAAGATGGTTTTCTGAAAGGCTCTTTAAAGTACATAAGGTGCAAACATTATTCTCAGCGAGTGTTGACTGATGATGATAAAAGTCTTCCTAATGTTTTTGTTCGAGGTTGAGAAAAGATCAAGCCAAGCGTTGACACTACCCCAGTGACCCATCACTAAAGAGAAGGCCCTCACTCAAACTTTGGCCAAATACCAAGTACAGTGGGTGGATTTAGAATGACTTCAGCTGTTGTGCCTGTATGCAGTAAAACATCGTGTATTCTGTTTCAGGGATCTATAGCAATCCAATAGATAATCATTCATTAAATGCTTATCATGTGCCCTGAATTGCATTACCAGGAGTGAGGAACCTGTCGCCTCGAGGCTACATGTGGCCCTCTAGGTCCTCAAGTGTGGCCTTTTGACTGAATCCAAACTTCACAGAACAAATCCTCTTAATAAAAGAATTTTTATTAAGTTCTGTAATATATTTATTAAGTTCTATAAAACTTGGACTCAGTCAAAAGGCCACACCCAAGGACCTAGAAGGTCACATGTGGCCTTGAGGCCACAAGTTCCCCACCCCTAGACTAAGCCCTAGGAATGGAATAGGGACTGGATATCTGATTCCATTGGTATAAGGAACTCCCTCTACTAATGCAGATTAGCACCTTCTCTGCAAGTTACTTAGTCTGTTGTCTACAGAGGCACACTGAGCAAACTCTCTACTGCCCAAGCCATTAAAATGTAATGTTTAACAAAATAAACAGAAATTCCATTTTTGTTATTGTCATTTTTCAGTCTTGTCCAACTCTCTGTGACCCCATTTGAGATTTTCTTGGCAGAGATACTGAAGTGGTTGGCCATTTCCTTCTCCAGCTCATTTTACAGATGAGGAAACTGAGGCAAACAGGGTTAAGTGACTTGCCCAAGGTCACACAGCTAGTAAATGTCTGAGGCCAGATTTAAATTCAGGAACATGAGTCTTCATGACTCCAGACCCAGAACTCTATCTACTGAGCCATCTAGCTGATACCCTTCTTCCCCCCAAAAAAGAAAATTCAGTGCAACACAGATAATGTTAATATGTGGTTTTCTAAGTCAATATACAGCCCACCAGGATCTATTTCTATTTCAGTTTCACACTCCAACTAGAACACTGAGAAATTAGGTACGTGACTTACCCCCAGCCTTAGAGGCAGTACTTGAATCCAGGTTTTCTTGGCTTTGAGACTGACTCCCTCCATTCCCTATACTATGTTGCCTCTGGTGATAGAAAGACAAAAACTAAATGGTTCCTGAGCTTCCGGGAGCTTATATCCTACCAGAGAAAACAAACTATGCATTCAGAATGCAAAATACATAAAAAGTAAATGCAAAATAGTTTCAGGGGTCCTAGTGCCTGGGGGCTCGCCCCGTTTTCTTTTCAGAGCTTTTTACTCTGACTCAGAACTCAATATGGTTTTACTCCTACTCTCTGGAAAGCTGTGGACTTTGTCCAGTCTGTAGTCTCTCACACTGTTTCCACCTTTAGACCTAGGACTTTGCCTTGGTTTGCCAAAAAAGGAAGTAGAGTCAGAATGTCCAACAAAATCAATTTTGTTGCAGCTGCCCCACTCCTCTTTTAGCCCATGATTCTGATCCGTGTTTCAAATACCATGATTCCACTGATACCCACCCTTAACCCTAGTCTACATCTGATAATGACTTCCTGCTGTGCTCTTAAGTTCTT